GATTTTCAGAGTTGGTTGGAAATGCTAACATGAAGCTTTAGTGTGATGATTTATTAGCTAGATAATGATCTTTAGAAGAGGGTAGGTGGATAGTTCCGTTAGAGTACGGCAGTATGAAAATTGAATAGAAGTTGAAAATGAGCAAAGGGCCATTAAAGCGACAGTTTTTCAAGATAGACGCACATTTTTGCCTAGCCCGTACGATGTACGCGGGGACTTGAAGTATGTCTCCAAGTCCACAGGCAAAAATGTGCGTCCCTCTTGTTGCTCATAAACTGACTGCGGCTGTGGAATAGTTCTAGCGACGTTTTCATCACTACCTATCCACCTACCCTCTTCTAAAGATCATTCTCTAGCTAATAAATCATCACACTAAAGCTTCATGTTAGCATTTCCAACCAACTCTGCATTTCCTTATTCGGAAGGGGAGCAGATTCTACCAAGGGAACAGAAACATGTGTTTCCTTTGTAAGATGGAGGGGCATCGAATGAAATCCTGCCTCAAACGAAAGGAACGGAAGCAATCAGTATTGCAATAACAGGAAGAGGAAAACAAACAACGGAACGGAGAAGAAACCAGTGCCACTACACACACTGGTGTGGTGAATGGAAGTGCCTCGTCAATGAACAATGATAAAGGGACAGAGGAAGCGGTTGAACTGCTGGAAGAAGATATAGTGGAGAAGGATGTGCCGTCCCGCGATGCTGACAAGATCAATATAGACCTTAAAAAATTGTTATAGTTATTTGGCTTATTGACGTGTTATGGGGAATTGGTGGAATAGTTGTATCATTTGTGTTATCTTTTGTTTATGGTCTTTTTAATTAGGAAAGGAAGCAAGCTTCGCGTTAGTGAACTATACCGAGAAAGAGCGGATAAATGGCGTAGAGGAGGCCAAGCGGTGGGTGCTGCTGAAGGAAAAAACAATTGGAAGAACAAAAGTAGTCGCTTCTCAAGAACAGTAAAAGGAACTCATAAACATTGTCCCTCATTAATATTTATTGACATTAAAAAAATTACTGGTTTTCGGCTCCGTGGACCCCTTTAGGCTTTGAGCCTAACAAATAAACAAAAAACAAAAAAAAAATATCGCAATTTTATAGGGATATGAAGTTTTGAGCCAAAAAACTGATCGGTGGTTATTGCGCTATTGAATTTTGCAATTTTAAACTCATAGGTAAATAATTTCGCGCATACCCCGTAACGTGGGTAGATCACCTTTTCGTGGTACCGGAATGTAAGATCTACCATCGATTCCTAGTCCTGACTACTTCAAACTAGGGGAACAGGACTTTTCAGTAATCCAAGGAACACATCTTAGTTCTTGTTACTTTTTATGCCTTGTTGATAGTGACAAGACTCGGCTTTGCCCACCGAGGATGATCTTGAAACAAGGAAAACATTAGGTAGTTAGTCTTCATCTATGTGATTCCTAATCTTCTATTCGTTGTTCTCTAGTTTGAAGTGGTTAAGACTAGGGTTCTGATGCATGGTGTCATTCCTTCATTTTGTTGCTAAGGAATCCAATTTTGACAGAGGGGCGCGCCTTTGGAGGGTGTTTCAACACTCCGAAGGGTATAAATAGCGGGACCTTTCAATTACTGTCGGATCCTTGCATTTAGAATGACTGTAAAAAAATCGAATACTTCATCATTTCTCAATAGTGATTGAGTCATACGACATGCACTAAACTAAGGACAAGGGAAATACTACAATAGATCAAATTACTGGTCGCAGTGGTGTTAGGCCCCGAACAGAGGAAAAAAATTTCACGCATGAGATTTGAGTTTTTTAGTTTTTTGCAATGGGATTTTTTTTTTCAAAAAAAAGCATTTAATTCAATATCTCAAATGCCGCTCGATATGATAGGATTTTTTTTCTTTCCTTAATTTGTTTTCCGTCGATCTTGTTTTCCGTGCTGAGCACCAATGCTACCGACGCCAGGGAGGCAGCTCCCACACCTGGACCCTACCTATCGAACCATCAACTCATGAATCGGGGACCAACGGCTTTACTTTCCCTACTAGAAAGGCGTGATCAGAGATGTTATGCCTCAGAACATCTCGGTAGCGCCGACTGGGATTGAACCCAGGCCTGCTGACAAGAAATCAAGGTTGTGCACGGCACGGATCATTTTCGGGTAGTTTGAGGCAAAAATAAGGAATTTTACCCTATTTTTTAGTGCCTAAAATTGCATATAGTCCATTACTAATTTAAAAAAACCAGTTTCATTCAAGTTTGCAAATACTCATTTCAGCTAAAATAATGTTTTTCGGAATAATAAAATCAAAAGATGGTATGATGACATGTTTTACTTGTAACTCACAAGAAGAGGTTACACAGTATGCGTTTGAAACATAAAACCTGTAATTTTTGCTTTCTATGAGTCACAATCAGCGATTTGCTGATCGCTGAGTGAGTGAGTGAGTGAGTGTGTGAAAAATCGCTGATTGTGACTCTCATGAAGTGAAATAAACAGGATTAATATGTCAAACACATTCTTTGCCGCCTCTTCTTGTAAAGGGTGATACGGTTAAAATTTGGTCAATATCAACTTGACGTATTTCTTTCAATTTTGCATTTAAAAAACCTGAACACCCCTCATTTTGAAGGTGTGTGTGTGTAGAATGTTGCTCCTATTTTGATTTTGGAATTCACTCTTCAGTTGTCAAAATGCCGTCCAAGCAAGAAGAGCAGCGTATCAAAATTTTGCTCGCGCATCGTGAAAATCCGAGCTACTCGCACGCAAAGTTGGCAAAATCGCTAAAAGTTACAAATGTAATTAAAGTGTTTGGGGAACGTTTGTCGACAGCCAGGAAGTCTGGATCGGGGGGAAATCGAAAACCGGAAGCCGCTGAGACGACAAAGAGAGTTGCCGGTAGTTTCAAGCGAAACCCTAACCTCTCTCTCCGAGATGCCGCAAATAAGCTGGGTGTATCGTCTACAACCGTGCATCGAGCCAAAAAACGAGCCGGACTATCGACTTACAAGAAGGTAGTGACTCCAAATCGCGATGATAAACAAAATACGACGGCCAAAGCGCGATCCCGGAGGCTGTACACGACGATGCTGACGAAGTTTGACTGCGTGGTAATGGACGACGAAACCTACGTCAAAGCCGACTACAAGCAGCTTCCGGGACAGGAGTTTTATACGGCAAAAGGAAGGGGAAAGGTAGCAGATGTTTTCAAGCACATGAAACTGTCAAAGTTCGCAAAGAAATATCTGGTTTGACAAGCCATCTGTACCTGTGGATTGAAAAGCAGCATTTTCATAGCTTCCGGGACTATCAACCAAGAAATTTACGTGAAAGAGTGTTTGAATAAACGTCTGCTGCCTTTCCTGAAGAAACACGGTTGTTCCGTACTGTTTTGGCCGGATTTGGCATCTTGCCATTACGGTAAAAAGGCCATGGAGTGGTACGCCGCCAACAACGTGCAGGTGGTTCCCAAGGACAAGAACCCTCCCAACACGCCAGAGCTCCGCCCAATTGAGAAATACTGGGCTATTGTCAAGCGGAACCTAAAGAAGACCAAAAAAACTGCTAAGGGCGAGCAGCAGTTCAAGGCAAACTGGCTTTCTGCGGCGAAGAAGGTGGACAAGGTGGCTGTACAAAGTCTGATGGCAGGGGTCAAGCGTAAGGCCCGGCAATTCGGATTTGGAAAAGCGGAAGCCTAACTGAATATTTTTCCTGAATTTTATACTAATTGAACTTGAAAAAGAAATTTAATTTGATTTTTTAAATAAACGATTTCACCGATTTACACGCGTTTTCCCTTGACCAAATTTTGACCGTATCACCCTTTATCTTACCTATTCAAAATATGATCATAGCATCTGATTATTTCATAATTTAAAAAAAAAAAAACATTGTATTAGCTGAAAAGAGTATTTGCAACCTTGGTTTCATTTTAAGGCTAAGATTGTTATTCATAATCGTATGTATCAAATTGAAAATAGGACTTAAAATTCTTAATATTTGGTGCTACCATTTTCAGTAAAAACAATTAAAATATGTGAAAATAGTACACAACTCATTGAATCATACAATTTCTAAACGGTGCAAAAAAAAGTATCCTACTGTTGTTTTCATTCTGTACCTTTTATTTCACACCGGAGTAAAAGTGACGGCGAATGGAAACGAATGGAAGCCAATACAAACCACCCAAAAATGACAAATCAACAGCTTTATTGTCACTTAACGATTTCCAATTGAAAATGACTTTCTCGGGCCCTGGTAGGCTTTACAAATTGTATTACTATACTAGTTTACGCTTGCAAAAGGCCACAATAAACGGCCGAAACGTCGGACAATGCATAACTGACTGTTTGGATTACCCTAGACTGAGAAGTAATACAAAAGAAATCTCCCCACACACCAGTCGAACAACAAATTAAAAAAATCTTCTCTTTTTGGAATCTGATCTCGATTTGTATATCCAGAAGTCAAATCGATTATATATTCGAGTATATTGGCAAATATGGGCCCATACATAAATTCAGCAATCGGCTAAATTTTCAATAGCGACCAAAAATATCCATTAGTACCGTCAATGACGCGTTCATCTAGATAAAATTGAAAATTGCAGATTTTTTGCGATGGACCCATATGTTCAAATCAAATCAATAGACAACTCTATGGCAGAGGTCTTGCTGATGTCTGAATCCGTCTTCCACAGTATATTGTAACAATTGTATACCGACTGAAAGATGAAACTAATGAAAATTACACGAGCCAAAATTAATTTTTGACTCAATGGATGGTACATAAATGAATATGTCATGTAAAATCAAGTGCTCCAAAGCCGAATACTATGACTATCTACGAAAAGTATGATCGATTGAGATAGTTTTGCGACTTTTATGATTTCATTTGACGTGAAATAATGACGTTCGTATGTGTTGCTCTCAGATCGCCGAAATTTACATGAGTTTTTCGTACCGTGCATACATCTGATATTCCAATCATAGCAAATTAGCAAAGCATAAGTATACCTACCGGTGATTGCACTGCTGACAGGCGAAGCATTCTAAATGGTAGACGTTGTTTTTGGCACGCATCACCATTTCGAACGCCGGTATCACCTTGTTGCACGCGGCACAGTACCCGGTAGTGCCGAACAGTCTGAGATAGTCTCGCTTACACAGTATTAGGTTTGCTTTAGTATACAGGGTAGAGCCGACCTCACCGAGCCGGCAATCACAGCAGCCGCACTTGAGGCAATCCTCGTGCCAGAACAGGTCCAAGGCTTTCAGCAGGAATCGCTCGGTGATACGTTTCCCGCAGCCAGCGCAGTCCTTGGCCATCCCAGTGCTGCTGATGAGATTCGGGGTGGACGAGACCGATGATTGGATTGCCGGTGCGTTCTGTGTAACTGTCGTGTGTCCCATAGCAGTAACACTGGCGGCGTTGAGGGTCCTTGTTGCCTGTACATTGACTGTGTGATCGTTGATCGGTTCCACTGGAAACAAGGAAAGAGGATAGGTGATTAGAGAATAATTCAAGATGTTGCTCTAGACATATGATTTCAACAGGTTCATATGAACAACAGAAAATTCGATCGTAAAAGTTATAATTTAATATGATCGGTAAATGTACAGTCCATACAAATGTCAATTCAATCTATTCACACGCATCGAAGTATCTGTTTTCTCTCTTTCTGCCGAGGCACCCGCCATTTCCCATGCGATAGATTTATCCCCAATTTCAATCAACCAATTCCATTATTATTTGAATCATCCTAGTTACCCTTTCCATATTGACGGGTCATTCTCCTTCTGTATCCCATTTTTGTTCTCTTTCACAAACTACGCCACATCAGCAAACGCTCATGTAGACGGGTAGTGCGACGGCGGTGTGACAATATTAGACTTTTAATATGTAATTTGATTTCATGCGAACTTGAATCTTGAATGATTTGGGCATCGGTAAAGCACCTAGAAATCATCCATAGTTCTTCTTCTTCGTCTTCGTCTTCTTCTCAGTAATGTATTATTATTTTCCTCAAAAATCATCCAAATGAGAAACATCGTTACTCGCATACGTTACGTGCGCCAGTGTACGACAACCACTTCCAACTGAGGCACACGGCCACACATCACATCGACGACGACGGTACATCCTTTTTTTCCTTTCTTCATTTCCGACTTTCAACTCCTTCCTTTTCTGGATGATTGGGCCATAAACTTTTTTCCCATTTTCAATTTTCCCACCCATCGGATATGGATACCCTACAATACGTTTAAGGTAGGGTACGACAGGGTACTATGCGCCAGTGGACAAAATGGCATTTCGTGGGTTTCAAGTGAGTTAATGAAGTTCATTAAGGGGTTTCTTAGAGTGGGAAGATTAAAATACCATTGACAAAAGCGGCAAAGTGTCGCTCTGTCCACTGGTGCGTTTTGAGCTGTCCTCCCCTACAGATGCACCAAGGCAACATTTGATTGTGTATTGCCGGATGGACGAAGGAATTCGCTCCGTCGCCATGTCTAGGTACACTTCCAATAGTCGCGAGGAGTGTTTTTGGAAATAGGAAAATTCCTTTGAATCCGCCAGCCCGCAGTGTCCGACTATGTTTTCGCCCGTACGGGGTGGGAAAGAGGTAGCAGACAAGATTAATGAATCTAGGTATCGTGACGACTGGACTGGTTGATTAAGGCAGGTGCAGACTCGGAAATTGCATTGAGGAAGCATTTATTTATTGAAATATATTGAAGGAATGTTATTGTTTAGATACACAATCCACTAAGCTATCAGTTTATCTGAGATCGAAAATCTCCATCAGCTCATCTAACAAGTGGCATCTATGTCCCACACTTGGATGCAGCTCGCTCAAGTAGATGGTGGGTACTTATCCGCTTTGCAATTCTATTTTTGCCGACTCTCTACTTTTCCTGCACTCCCTGTACATTCTCCCGCTTCCTCACGCGGACGTTCTTAATTACAAAATTTCCTTCTTAACTCAAGCCGAAGGTCGTAGTTAGTAGCTTCTGAAATCATTTAATTAAAATCCCGTCATGCAGATGTTGATTTTAGCAGTGTAGTCGTTTCTATAATTATTATTGAGAAAAGTAATTAGCATTAATTGCATCTCAAGCAATGAATAAGTAATTAGATAGCGAGAATATTTTGTATTCATTAATTAACATCTTATATGATGGCGAAGACGACGACAACGACGACGATGACAGCGATGTGGAAGTTTGCGCCAGAAGAAGCGCATTGCACACGTTATTTTCTTGCATCGCTGTCTTCGTTTCTGCTCTGGCTCTCATTAGGAACCGCACTCGTATTTCAGTTCTTCTTTGAATATAGTCAGGTGGTTCCTACCTAATAATACGTGTTGCAGAATTGGAATGAGTGCTAAGGATAAAGTTGGTCGTTTCCGCTTCAGAAATTCATCCTGTATTTTTTTTAGTCAATATTTTCGTAGATTGACACTCATTCGGTCTACGGTCATGGGATTAACCCGTAAAAGCCCGTGACAAACTTTTTATTTTCAAAAAAATTGTATCTCAGTGATTCCATTGCAAGAATGTGTTGGCACGGGCGTGTTTTTTCAATCTTTATCATATATCTTACTTATCATTGCAACAACTATTGATTGTTTTCGTGGAACTCTTGAAAATGATAGAGAATAATCATAAGACTCCATGCCTACCTTGGAACCGGTTCTGGATATTCCGGATTATGGATCCATATGGTCAAATTTATTATCTATCATAACCATATCAAGCGACATATCAAATCACTTCTACTCGACGAAATATGACCAAACTCCTGGAACGGATTTCATGGAACATTCCTCCTCGCAGATTTCGTAACTCCCTGTTACTGGCAATTACATTCCACAGAACTAACTTTTGATTCATCAACTTTTTTTAATTCCTGTCTGCGTTCCTTTAATGATGTTTGTAACGAATTTGATTTTACTGGAGTAATGGAGTAAAACGTTTATTCTTTTCCTTGAATTGTTTTCCGTCGATCTTGTTTTCCGTGCTGAGCACCAATGCTACCGACGCCAGGGAGGCAGCTTCCGCACCTGGACCCATCAACTCATGAACCGGGGACCAACGGCTTTACTTCCCTTCCGAAGGAAGGCGTGATCAGAGATGTTATGCCTCAGAACATCACGGCGGCACCAACTGGGATTGAACCCAGGCCTACTGACTGGGGTGAGAGGTAATCACGCTTACCACTACACCACCAGCGCCGCTAATAAGAAGTTTAGATTAAACAAGTTTTACTTTTAAGTAATCAGTCTGTACGACGTAGTCGAAGACGGTGTGCAATAAATAAATAAATTAATAAATAAATTAATAAATAAGAGAGACTGCTCCCAAGTAACCAAAAGTTCTGATAAAAGGCTATTTGTGGCTTAAGCAGCTTGGTTGAGGGTGGTCTATAGAATTCTAAGGAGCCTCATTTTTAAGTCGTTATAAGAACTTGAAAGTTCCGGTACCATAATTGAAGAGCATTCTAAGCAGCCTCTGACGGAACTTGAACGGAACTTTAAGAAAATAAATTAAAAAAGGTTTTTGTCCTCTACACTAAATTCTATATTAAGTTCGCAATTTTATGAAAGTTTTTCCTAAAGACAGGTATTTATTGTGTATTCATTTATCAGCATTAGTAGTAGTAACGTGGTTAACGTAGTAGTTTGAAGAATTAAACCCAGTCCTTCTGCGTGAGAGCCTCAGCACGTCGTCATCTGAAATATATTAAAATGAGCTGTTGTCCCGCCTATTGTTGGAGTTTTCTGAGCCAGCTGACTGACTTGAATACGAAACACAACACCTTGATGAATTTTAAGTTGGTGTTCACCCGCATGGTATTCCATCACACTTGAGGGCGCAGTGGTTAGCAATCGTAGATCGCATGCCGAATACACGGGTTCGAGTCCAGGAAATTACTTTTTATTTTTTTTATGTTTGGATTTATTAGGGCCACTGATCATTTCATATTTATGTACATTAAATTTTGTTACTAATAAAGACTTGTGCGAATTGCTTCATGTGGCTTGAAAGTTCTGTCGGAACTTTATTTGAACTTTATGGAACTTGAAAGTTCTGTCAGAACTTTATCTGAACTTTATGGAACTTGAATGTTCTGTCGGAACTTTATTTGAACTTTATGGAACTTGAAAGTTCTGTGATAGGCCGTATGATGGGTTTCAGCTTATGAATGATTTTAGATATTTCCCAGAAGGAAGCTGGAGCATGACCAAGGTGTGTCCGCGTGGTTTTCAATTTGACCACCGATGATTTTGAAAAGCTAATCTTGCCTGCAAATGATCTTTGATGAATCATGGTGAATTTTGGCTCAGCTCAGCTTCTGGTAGCTCTGTAGCAAGCATTTTGCCGGTTCTCAACTTAGTGTTATAGATGCAAATCCACAGTTACTAATTGAGAGCTTTGTATGTCAACCACTGCATGACTTTGTATAATGTGTGGCAAGTCCAATGATACTGCCCAGAAGACAAATTCAAACTCAAAACATTCGAGGGGAATCTTCCGAGTTTGAAATTTTCATGACTTCCGCGGACCGGGAATCGAACACGCAGGTTTGATAAAATATCGTGCTTTTACGGATTAGGTAATCTACAACTTCTCCCACTCCCTACCTAACCCAAGATAAGTATGTATAAGTTAGAGCAAGTATGGTCTAGGACAAACAATGTGAGCACCAATGATGTAGATTTTGAATGTTAATGTGATTTAATGCATCGCATGATGAGTTTTACATGAAGTCCGTGGGGGCCCGAACATGGCCGGATATTAGCAATATGGTCCAGAGTACTTATGACTGGCATTGAACTTGCTGTCGAGTTCTTAAATGATTTAATGTGTCGCATGATAGGTTTTGGCGTTGGTCAGAATCATCCCCTAGGGCACCCTGAGCATTTTCAGGTGTGGTCAAAGTGGACCATGTGGCCATCAATCACCTTCGTTTTGAATTCTTATGTGATTTTGTTGTGTCGTGCTTCAAGTCAAATTCTGAACACTTCATCTTGGGTAGCCGGAACTTGTTCAGATGGTACAGGTATATTGTCTAAGGTACACAGTTAAAAAAAGTTGTGTAGATTTCCGTTACTATGATGCACATAAAAAGAGCCGTCATATATCATACAAGTTTACGTTATAGATCTTGTAAAATAATGGGAAATGTCATGAAATATTCCAAACATTGTATGCAAGTGTCCAACTTTGTAAGCAATCATTCCAGCAAGTTGCTAGATTACGTGAAAGGGAAGTTTACATGCATGGATGTTTACATCACCACTAAAATTCAGAATGAAAATGAATACAATTGAACTTCACACTTAGAAAAAAATCATGTTAATTTAGGTGCTCTCAGACTGACATATACGAGCGTCAATTTTGACATAAAATTGAGTCATACCAGAAGCGAAATTCAACTCAATCAAACGTACTTTTCGACAAGTAACGAACTTTTCAGTCT